GGAAGGAGGAGGAGAGGAGCAGGAGGAGGAGGGGGGGGGACAAGCTAGGTGCGCTCGCGTCATATCTGACATCCTGGAGGGAGGGAGGGGGGGATGGGGGGGAGGGGGGAGGGGGACAAGCTAGGTGCGCTCGCGTCATATCTGACATCCTACCCCTCCCTCCCATCCCTTACCATGGCGCAGATCCCCTCTCTACTCGCACAGTCGGATGTCGAGCAGGGCAATGATCCCGAAAGGGTACGCGATGCATTTGTAGAGCACCGTGGCATGGCACGGGAAATGACGCCAACGCTGCAGCGGGAGCACGAGTCGAAACGAGCGGAAGCGCGGAAATGAGGCCAGCGCTGCAGCGGGAGCACGATTCGGAACGAGCGGAAGCACGCCGGAATCGGCCCGGGAGGCGTCCCGGGCGCCAGAAGCAGGAATTCAGCATTTTCAAGAGAAAAATGTATATTATAATGGCGTTTTTTCGGCGCCGCCTCAGAACTCGATTTTCTGGCGCCGGTCGGAACCGGCTCCGGACCCGGCCCGGGCGCTGGCCCGGCCCAGGCGCCGGCTCGCCTCCAGGGCGCCGGAAGCGGAAATTCACCATTTTCGAAAGAAAAATGTATATTAGAATGGCCTTTTTTCGGCGCCGCCTCGGAACTCGATTTTCCGGCGGCGGCCGGAACCGGCTCCGGACCCGGCCCGAGCGCTGGCCTGGGCGCCGGCTCGGGCGTGCAGCCCGGGCGCTGGCGGAAATGATGCCAGCGCTGCAGCGGGAGCACGATTCGGAACGAGTGGGGCCCGAAAATGAGGCCTGCGCCCCAGCGAGAGCAGCATTTTGGAGAAATATGCAAGCGAAAACCCAACTCCGGGGAAACTTGTGTGTAAAGAAACAGTACTCGGGGGGGGGCGGCTACTCCCAAGACGTCATCAGGGGAAGAGGGAGAATAATATTCATATTGAGTACTTGTGGAGGATCGAGGAGGAGGAGGAGGAGGAGGAGGAGGAGGAGGAGGAGGAACAGGAGGAGGAGGAGGAGGAGGAGGAGGAGGAGGAGGAGGAGGAGGAGGAGGAGGAGGAGGAGGAGGAGGAGGAGGAGGAGGAGGAGGAGGAGGATTAGGAGGGTTGTGGGGGGGGAGGGGCACCAAGTGGTTTGTTCAAAACGAGAACCCAGCACAAGAGTTTTGGGAACCAGCAGTGCAAGCGAAGAAGCAAACCAGGTCAAGGAGCTTCTCCACGAGCTGCCCGACGACTGGGACGTGTGCCTGCTCGGCGCCGTGGGATGCGTGGATCCTGTCAAAGAGCCCATTCACATGCAGGTCTACGGGCTTATCGTCGGCGGCTGGCACCCCTCGCCGGGGAAGTCTCGCCTCGTCTCGAAGAACGTCTTCGTGCCGTACAAGCCAGCAGGCACCCACGCCTACATGGTGTCCCAGCGCGGTGCCGCCAAGATGCTCAAGAGGAACCCCAAGGCTCGATACCACGTAGACGTCACTGCGTGGTCTCAGCAGGACCTCAACCTGTATGCCGCCAAGGACTTTCTGGCCACGCAGCGTTTCGGCGACGACACCACGGTCTCGAAGACCGGGAAGCCGCTGACGGAGGGGTTCCTCCGGTGGATATGGACAATCTCTGGCATTGGCAGCATGGGGTCGCGCGCGGGTGTTGAGAACCTCACGTGGGCCTGGAAGGTCGCGCTCTTCTCGATCCCGCTCCCGTTCGGGAGGCGCGCCACCCGTCCGTTCTCCGCCCTCTCCGCCTGCTCATCCGCTGCTCTCCCTCCTCCCCCCCCTCGTCCGTGAGGCACGTCATCGTCGAGACTGGGCCGGCAAGCATCCCGTTCCTCGCGGTCATGATCGTAGGTGCGGCGACTCGCAATCTGAAGTTGATCGGTGGCGCGCTCACCTACTTCACGATTTTGATTTCGATCATACGAGCACTCGCAGGCAACTTCAACCTTGTTCCGTTGGGGTCGCTGGCGCTCACGAGCGGGGCCCTGCTTCTGCGTGGTTGAGGTACGCAGGACCACCGCTGTCGTGCGTGCGATGTTCCATAATAATTCGTGGGAGTTTGACTGGACAAAACACATCAGAAGGTAAGACGGTTACCTTGGCCCTCGCCACCAGACCACATCACGGCACGCGACTCGCCGCATTCCTCCTGCTCCGTCCACCTGGAACCCGGTTCGGGAGGGGTTGGCAGCGGCCCCAGGCGGCGGGGGCCAACTTTGTGTTGGCCAGTCTACACCTTAGGCGATGCTTAAGAAAACCTAAGTTTTCGTCCAGAGTCTCGATTATTCTTAACGTTTCCATGTAAATCCTAAGATTTTGATAGAAGTTCTGGGTTTTTATTCAAGTTCTGAGACTATGAATTTCTTAACCCATGATTTCTTAAGCATTTCGCAGGGTGTAAGCCAACTCTTTACCCCCTTTCCCCCCTCCCAACCCCCATTGCATGCTGGCGAGCGAGGGAGCAGGGGCAGGCGGCTTGGGGGCGGACTGGAGCGTCGGGGGGCGGCTGCTGTCCAGCTGGCTGCACCGATCCTGGCCGAGCCACTCCTGGCCCCTGGATGGGTGTCCTCCTGCCTCCTCCCCTCCCTCCTCCTCCTCCACCTCCCTCCTCCCTCCCTCCTCCTCCTTCCTCCTTCTCCCTCCTCCTCCTCCTCTTCATACTCGACCTCCTGCTCCTGCTTCACCCCTTTTCCTTGTAAGCAACTCCTCACCGCCCGCCATCTCATGTCCTGAAGCTTGACATTTGCAACAGTTTCATTGATGGAGGGTGGGCCTTTTTCAAAATGTGGCTCTCGCCCTAGCTCCGCGAACATTCGTTCTACAGTTTGCAGCGCTTTCACGGGTGGACGGCGGGGCGTTTTCTAAATATGGCTCTCGCTTTAGCGCTGCGTATATTGGTTTTCAAAGTTTGTAGCAGTTTTAAGGGCGGAGGGCGGTTTCTTATCAGCATGTGGCTCTCGCATTAGAGCAGCGCAGATTCGTCTTGCAACTTGACAGCCGTTTCAAGGACGGAGGGCGGTTCCTTTGCAAGATGTTGTTCTCGCCTTAGCGCCGCGCAGATCCATCTTAGACGTTTGCGACAGTGCCAGGGGTGGAGGACGGTTCCAATTCAACATGTGGCTCTCGCCTTGGCGCCGCGCAGATTCGTTTGAAGTATGCGACATTTTCAGGCATGGAGGGTGGTTCTAGCGCCGCGTACACTCCCCTGAAACGTTTGGAGCAGTTTTAATGTTTCGTACGGGCGCAGTCCCAGAAATTGCGTCCTCGTGCGATTTAGGATTGTCAGGACACAACAGTCAGGTTGGTTCGTTCGCGTTTCTGGAGTCTCAGGAACGGCGTTCTGGTACGATTTCGAACTGCCAGGGCGCAGCAGTCACGTTAAGCCGCGGCGCTGAAGTCCCAGAAAGTGTGTGTTTGGCACGTTTGAGGATTCTCATGCGTTTGTCTTCTGATTGACCACTCCCCGCAATGGCAATACATTCCAGTAGGGACCTACGAACAGGGAAGTTTGAGGGAGGGTGTACTGCAACATCGAAGATGCGTCTTGGGTCTTCACTGGCCCTCCTCCCTCTCCCTCTTCTCCTCCTCTTTCTCTTTCTCTTTCTCTTTCTCTTTCTCCTCCTCCTCCTCTCTTTTTTTCCAGACGAGCTCGTTTGCCTGGTCGATCCGATCCTCCTCCTCCTCCTCCTGCTCCTGCTCCTGCTCCTGCTCCTCCTCCTCCTCCTTCTTCTCCTCCGCCTCCTCCTCCTCCCACTCCTTCCGCTGGCGCTCTGCCTCCTCCCTCCTCCTTTCTTCCTCCTCCTCTCTTCTCTTTATGATTTCTCAATCTTCTAGACGCTTCGCGTAGCCCCACCATCTTCGTTCCGCGCCCCAGACGTTGTGCCCGCTCCCTGGGCTTCTCCTTGGAGCCGCGAACCAAAAAAGTAGCCCCGCCAGTCGCTCGCGCTCACCCCCCTTTTTTCCGAGGTCTTGGACGGCCTGGCTCTGTGTGCACGCACGTGGGTTCCGCCTGGTTTTTGGCCACTCGGACTCGCGTTCTGTCCGTGGCCTTTACAGTGCCTTGCTGTCCGTCTTGGCCTCGCTTCCGATTGCGGTTCGGCTGGAGCTTGGCGCCGCAAGGGCGACTTCTCCTCCCCGTTCCGTTGCCGATTGCCGCGCTTTTTGTTTCCCACCAGCCGGGCTGTCTGGGCCAGTCACCCGCAGACGCTGAATTGCGTCTCGATGAGGGGCATTTTGTCCCTGGCATGTGCATGCGCCACTGCGTGTGTTGTCCGCTGGAGTCTGCGGCAATCTCGCGCCAATTATCTACGTACCGCGCCCCGGACGTTGTGCCCGCTCCATGTCCCTCGCATTGGGGCCGCGAACCAAAAAAGTAACCCCGCCAGCCCGTCCAGAAACAATGCCCAGACGAACTGCCCTGATCAAGGATATGAAGGATCGTGCAGTGAATCAAAAGTCTCGGTAATGCGTCACACCCCGAAATTGGGCGGATGGAGGAGGAGGAGGAGGAGGAGGAGGAGGAGGAGGAGGAGGAGGAGGAGGAGGAGGAGGAGGAGGAGGAGGAGGAGAGCAGCGGAGAGCAGCGGCAGGACGTCGCGTCGGCCAGGCCAACTAGACGCAGCACAGGCGGCCCGGGGGGCCGCAGCCTCAGGGGAGGCCAGTGATGCCGATCACGTCGACGGACGCGAAGGGCGGCGCGCTGGGGCCAGACCGCCGCGCAGCGCCTTGCGGCGAGCCGCTGGGGCCAGAACGCCACGCAGCGGCTGCCCGTGCCAGGAGAGGCCGACCCTCAACCACTTCTCCGTCGCCTCCTGCGTCCCGCATTCCACGGCACCGAAGGCGCTCTGAGCGGGCCAATGGGCGGTGGCTGCCCTTCCCGCCGCAGCTCGGCCAGCCACGTCCGCAGGCACACGTAGTCGTAGCGCCGCATGCAGTCCGACACGATCCTCTGCGACCGCGTCAGCGTGTGGCGCCACCTGTAGTAGGCCCGCCTCGCGGGCATGCCAGTCCCCCAGGCCCGCTCGCAGATCTCCTCGGCCATCTCCTCGGCCGTCCTCCCACGCGCCCGCAGCCTGGTGGCGAAGCGCGGCTGGGACAGGATCTGCGTGACGTAGCCGACGCAGTGGTCGAGCCACTCGCTGTAGCACTCCATCGTCTCGCCGACCTCGGGAGCCTGGGTCCAGTACCGCGCCCATCCAGCGACCTGCAGCTCAAGCCTGGGCGCGACGCTGCGCCTCGGCTGCGCTGGCTCAGGCCGAGCCACCGCAACTCTGCCAGCACTCAGGGCGGGGCCGCACACACGGTCGGCACTTGCAGGTCCCCTGCCACCCCTGGTGCTGGCCATGCACATGCCGTCGCGGTCCGCGTCGCTTCCTGGGCTCAGGGCGGGGCCGCACTCACGCACGCACATTGCAGGTCCCCTGCCACCCCTGGCCCAGGCCGTAATCCGTCGCCGCTCGGGGTGGGTGCTGGTGCTCAGGGCGGGGCCGCACTCAGGACCGCAAACTGCAGGTCCCCTGCCACCCCTGGCACCAGCCGTAGCTGCACGTGGACACGCCTCCCCAGAAGCCAGCTGCGGCTGCCGCTGGTCCTCCTCAGGCGACGCCGCTTCCAGAGACCCGCTGCCAGTGCCCAGGGCGGGGCCGCACACAGGACTGCACTTTGCAGGTCCCCTGCCACCCCTGGCGCTGGCCATACCCTTGCCGTCGCGGTCCTCGTCGCATCCTGGGCTCAGGGCGGGGCCGCACTCACGCACGCACATTGCAGGTCCCCTGCCACCCCTGGCCCAGGCCGTAAATCGTCGCCGCACGCGGTGGGCCTGGCTGCCGTCGCCGCCAGTGCCCAAGGTGGGGCCGCACTCAGGGTCGCGGCTTGCAGGCCTCCTGCCACCCTTGTCACTGGCCATGCCTGGCAGCGCCCGCTGCGAGTTGTCAGACCTGCCAGCACTCAGGGCGGGGCCGCATTCGCGACCGCACTTTGCAGGTCCCCTGCCACCCCTGGTGCTGGCCATATCGGTAGTCGAGAACGGCTGCGGCGGGCTGCTCATGTCCTGAGGGCTGGTCACGGCGCCCTCCTGGTGGTCCGTGGTCAGCGTCACCTCGTGTGCCAGGTCACACCTCAAGGGCGCAGGCAGCCGCGACGGCCCCGCCGCCAGACAGGCATCGACCACCCCCACGTCTGGGGCAGCTGGCGGCGGCTGGAGCGTCACCAGTCCAGTGGTGCCCCCGTCGGGGCATTGGTGCGCTCCATAGGCCGAGGGCAAGCTGCCGTCGGCCATGTCTCCCTCATCACGCTGCGCGCCGCTGGCGGCTGCTGGACCACGTTCGGCTAGCAGATGCTGCTGCCTTCGCTGCATCCGTTCCAGGAGCTCCTGCCGTCGCACCCGCCAAGCAGGCTTCTTGGTCTGGACTGCGTCGGAACCTCCAGCCCCTGCAGGCACCTCGCGCGTCTCGTGGTCCTGGCCAGGCCTGGTCGCCTCGCCCTGTTCCTTCTGCGCGTGCCTGCCGCTTGGCCGCTCTGCAGCGCCGTCGCCCCCAGAGGCCATGTCGCCCGCGGCCGCGCTGGCCGCCGCTGTGGCCCATGTTCTGGGGCCGTCTGGAGCCTCGCCTGCACCTCCCCAATTGAGCACCTTTCCTGTCTTGGGGTGCAGCCCTTGGCTGAGCTTCTTGAGCCGCGCCCTGAGGTTGGACAGGTAGGTGCGCTGGTTCTTGCCCTCGGCGCTGGGCGGGCCAGCGCAGGGCGCAGCCAGGGCCAGTGAGGAGCCTGTCGCCGCCCACGCCACGCATACCTCGCAGTAGATGGTGGGCCCTGCGCGCCTCAGCCTGTGCCCCTGCATCTCGATGGTGCCGTCCCCTGAGCCCCAGGGGGCAGGCTCGGCTGGCCTGGGCCCCGCATCTTCGGGGCACGCCGCGCGCTCGATCGCCTGCATAGCGAACTCGCCCGCCTCCGAGACCACAATGGGCTGCGCGCCGACGTGCGCGATGATGGCCTCGGCCCGCAGCGCGGTGTACTGGCTGGCCTCGCAAGCTGAACGCGCGAACTGCGTCCATGTGGGCCCCGTCTGCCCGCTGGTCTGCCTGCAGCAAGCGCGGCACAGCACCACCGCCGTCCCGTTCAGGCGAACCAGGGAGTGGCTGATCACAGTCGCCGCCTGCACCTTGGGCACCTTTGGCGGGCGGGCTGTCTGCTCGGGCGCATCCCAGCGGCCTGCGTGCATCGTCCTCTGCATCGCCCAGCCGACGTACTTTGCCAGGCTCTTGTAATGTTGCAGCTCGATGTTGTAGAACTCCTCGTACACCTTCGACACGGTGTGCTGCGTGGCTCCTTGCCGAGCGAACCAGTCGGCCCACATGTTGCCAGAGTACAGCAGCGGGTGGAGGCCTCGGTCCAAGTACGCATCCATGTCCTGATGCGCGGGGATCCATCTCACTTCAGGCCGCGCTGGCTGGGCACGAATCCGTCTCCACACTGTGGCATGTGCCGCTCGCGCCTCCTCTAGCTCCTGCCCCCAGTGGCTGCATTCCTTCTCCATCGACAGAAGGTCGGTGAAGACGAACTCGAGCTGCGGCCCCGCGAGCCGCAATGCCTGCAGCAGCGCGTGCCTCTCCGCGCGCCCGACCGTCTGGAGCGGCCCTGGCAGCGCCCCGAACGCCGCCCGAACAGGCAGTCCCTGGAGGGAAAGCTGCACGAAGGCCCATCCGCAGCGCCTCAGCTCGGGCATGCTGGACGCGAAGCCTGAGCCATCGGTGAAGACGGCGTTGCTGCAGGAAGCCGTGTCCGCCCCTTGGCTAGGCCAGCAGCCCCAGAACTTCACCTCGGCCTGCTCCGCGGCGGGCGGCACGAATGGCGGCATGCAGGGCAAGCACATTTGGAAGTCGGCGCTCTCGAAGCTGCCGCCCTCCTGCAGGCCTTTGTCGCACATGAAGGTGCGGATGGCCTGCATCGGCTCGGGCGGCAGCTGCTCGTCCTGCTCCTCCTCTGTGAGCGGCTGCACGAGTACCTCGCAGCCGAAAAATCTGTGCCCAGGCGAGTCGGACGGATGTCCGCAGGCCCTGCAATTCGGCGCCGCCGCCAGCCCAAGGTCGTGCTGGGCCTGTTGCGTCCAGGCCACCGTCGCCCAGTGGTGACGCAGGCTGGTGGCCGACGGGCCCTCCGCCAACGCCGCGCGCCCGTCGCCCACGCAGAGCCGCATGGCCCGCACCCGAGGCTTGACCTCGCCGTGCTGGCGGTGGTGCGCCGCGATCTGCCTCGCCTGCCAGCGTTGCACGCCGCCGGTCAGATGCATCCTGACGTCCTTCGGGCACGTGGTGAGGAGGTTGATCGCCGTATCCTGGTCGGTGACCAGGGTCGTGCTGGAGTACATGTGCCATCCGATGCGCCAGAGCGTCAGCGTGACGGAGGCGATGGGACCGCGAGCCCCTGCCCAGGACGGGCGCCCCACGAGCCGCTCCGTGACCTTGGCCCAGGCCCTGTGGAGCCTAGCCAGGGAGGTGCGTTGTTCCCAGATCCAGCTGGCGTATCGGCAAACGATGTCGCAGGTGGCGCCGTAGATGGGGTCGTACTCGCGCGCCTTCTGCGTGGCTAAATACACCGTGACGCTCGATGCACCTGGCCGAGCCCCTGCAAGCCTGCCAGCCTCGGCCCTCAGCACCTGCAGCGTATCGTCGGTGAGCCCTGACACCCCAGCACCGTGCGCCGCACTCGGCATGAGGCCCGTCTTCCACAGGCAGGTAGCGCGCCTGCCCACTGCCCCTTTGAAAGCTGCCAACTTGCCGCGCCGCTCCTTGAGCTGCCGCACCCGCTTTGCCGTCTGGAGCCTAGCGATTCTGCGCCCGCCCAGATCGTGCCCCAGGTTGCGGGCCCAGCGCATCTTGGTCAGCTTGCGGGCCGCCGCGTGTCGGGCACACTCGCGAGCAGCCGCGTCCGATGAGACCAAGTAGCCCGACTTGGTGGGCTGCACGACAATGCCTCGCTCCTGGGCGCCCTCGCGGAACCTGGTGGTGGCCGCCCAAAGCACGCCCAGTTGCGAGAGCCGCCTCCCGCGCCACTGCAAGGTGACGTCGTCGATGAGGGCCCTCGGGGTGACGCCTGCATCTCGCACCTGCTCGAGCAGCCTGAACATGAGCAAGGTGACCATGGCACAGGCGTGAGTGCATCCTGCGAGCACGCCCTGATGTGACACGACCGCGTAGGACACCGAGCCGAAAGCTTGCAGCCGCCTCGGCTGCCTGTATAGCTCAATCAACATCCAGACCAACCGCAGCGGCATGCCCAGCAGCCGCGCCTCGATGAGTAGCCACTCGGGCTTAATCGTCTCAAAGAACTTCCAGGCGTCCAGCATGACGATTACGACGTGCTCGTCCAGGCAGTCCGATACCTCCGTCTCCAGGTTGAGGTCGAAGGCGGAGTCGGAGGAAGATCTGCCGCCGCCCATGCCCCAAATACTGGCATTGGGGTGCGCCGTCAGCCACGCCTTGGACGTCGAGGCACGAGCCCTCGACCACCATCGGATTAGCGAGTGCATCAGCGTGATCAGCCTGCAGCCGCCAGAGGCCTTGGGGATGCGGCACATAGCGTGCCACAGCCTTTCGCTGGGCCAAGCCCCCAGCGCCTCGCACTTCATGAAGAGCTGGCCGCAGGTGTAAACGCCGTCGTCCGTGAGAAAGGTGAGCGCGCGCATGCCGATCTGCGCTGGGCCGAGCGCCGTGGTGGTGGGGAAGCTGCAGGCGGCCCGCTGCAGCGCCTCCACGGTGAGGTCTTCGAGGTCGTCCCATTCGTCGAAGTCAGCTGGCCTTTCCAGCGCCTCGAGCTTGTGGCACGACCAGACGTCCTCCCAGGCCTTCATCTCCCGGTCGCAGATCAGGTGCTGGCTGGCGACCTGCTGCTGCGGGACGAAGGTCTGGGCGAGCCGTCCAGTGGTGAGCTCGGTGTGGGTGCCCTGCCATTGCGCCAGCACCTCCTGCATCGCCCGCAGCTTGGTGAAGCGGTGCGCCTTGCCAGCGCCGTTCCGCAGGCTGTCGTTGGCCCACTGGATCCAGCTCTGCTGCCTGACCTTGAGCGCGTCCGCGTGGGCGTCCTTGGCGAACTGGACGATGCGGCCCGCCTGCTCCAGGAAGTCGGTGTTGCCGATCACGCGAAAGCCCTGCTCGAAGAAGGACCTCACCCAATGCGGGAGCAGTGCCAGCGTCTTCTTGCTGTCCATAACCACGCGCCCATACTCCAAAGCCCTCGCGACGAAGTCCGCCAGCTCGTGGTACTGCTCAGGGACAAGGGAGCACTGCAGGCTGGCGGTTTGCAGCCTCCTGCTGGCCTTCGCGAGGAACGCGCTGACCCCCATGAAGTGACGCGCCCATCGGCCCGCGACCTTGGCCGCGATGACATCAGGCCCCAATCGGACACGCTGCCCTTGCGGCTTCCACTTGACTGGCGCCAGCTTGGTCGCAATGGGCCCCGCACGTCCTTCGAACCGCCTGCGCGCTTCGCCAACCTGGTCGTAGCGGTCCAACAGCTCCTGCTCCAAGGTGCTGACGACGGCGTCCCAGGCTGCTGGCAGCTCCTCGGCGCTGGTTGTGGCGCGCACCTGGGCCAAAGTGGGCGCCCAGTCCTCGACACCGCGGCTGCAGCCGATGGGCGGCACCGCTGGAATCGCCCTGGGGGCGATCGGGATCCTCACGCGCATGTCCAGGTCGGCGGCACGCAGCTCCATGTTGACAGGGAGGTGCGGGGAGGTGATGCCCAACTCATCCACTCTCGGAGCCGAGATGCGGCTGGCCAGGTTTGCACCGACCAGAAAGTAGTCCAGCACCGAGCCGCTGCCCGCCTGTGGGCGGCAGGTGTCGGCCGACGGCGCTAGCCAGAGGCCCCCCGCCTTTTCCAACTGCGCCAGGGGCAGGCAGCTGGGAGGCCCATTGAAGTCGCCGCCGACGATCCAATCGATGCCCGAGGCCGTGAGCTTCGTGAGGTAGCGAGTGAGCGCGCCGAAGATGCTTCGGTTCACGTCGTTCATGCCAACGCTGTCGACCAGGTAGGCCGACACGAAGACAATGCCGCCACGGACTCCCCAGTGCACGTGGGCGGCCACCAGTCGCCCTGGCCACAGTGTCGCCGAGGGCAGCAGCGGCGGGGCCGTGACGGGGATGTTCTTGCGGGCCAAGACCGCGACGCCGCCCGTAGTGCCCTCCGCGGAGGTGGGGCCTGCCACTGCTGGCGCCCAGATGCCCGCGAACCCGTGATCCAGCACCTCGTGCTGCAGGTCGGCGAGCTTCGCCTCGTCCCGTCGGTGATGCTCCTGGACGAGAACGACGTGCGACTCGAGGGTCTCTAGGCACGGCGCCAATGAACCCCAGGAAGTCACGTTGCTGGTAGTGATAGTGCCTTTCGCCATCGCAAGTGTGCAGGACATCGCGATGATGAGCTTAGTAAGGATTGAAGCCCCTGACGGCCAGCTCCGTGGCGCGCGCCAGCATGGCGTCGCTGGTCTCCTCTGCTGGCCCTGGCGAGAACTCCGCCATGGTCTGCCGCAGCTTCTCGGGCTCCATCGCGGCGGGATCCCAGCGCGGCGCTGCGGCTGCAGGGGCGGCGCCGCCTGCAGTGCCTGCGCCATGCGCGGCGGCGGCGGCGTCGTCTCCCTCGACGGACGCTGCAGGGGTGCGAGGGGCGCTCGCTGCCTCCGTGGCGGCGGCCCGCTCGCGCTGCCGCCGCAGCATGAGCTCCTGGAGGGGCCCGCCGAGCGCCGAGGCCAGCCGCTGCGGCAAATCGCCCTTCGTACAATCGTATGTCTTAGAAGTGCACAGCACTACACGGCACAGCGTGGTGTTGAAGATCAACGCGTAGCATGACATAGCATTGCGTGGCGATGCCCAAACATGGGGGGCTTCTGCGGCCTAGAGAAACAACGAATCGACACTGAAAGTGTAATCATTTTCGATGTTTTATTCGGGGGATCATGTTCTAGATTTTTGGGCCTACTTGGAAGGATCGAAGACCACGCCGTGGCCTGGCAATGGAAATGGTGACGCCAGCGCTGCGGCGGGAGCACGCTTCGGAATGAGCGGAAGCGCGGGAATGAGGCCAGCGCTGCAGCGGGCGCACGATTCGGAACGAGCGGTAGCCCGAAAATGAGGCCAACGCTTCAGCGAAAGCAGCACTTTGAGCAACAGCCCAAGCGCGGAAACGCGGACATGAGGACGCGTAGCCTGACATAGCATGGCCTGGCTGAGCCCCAGAGTGGGGGGCTTTCGCGGCCCGAAAATGTCAACGAACCGACACCGAAGGTGTAATCACTTCCGATGTTTTTTTATTTCGGGGGGGGGGCATTTTCTAGATTTGTGGCCATGGTGAAGGAGCGAACACCATGCCGTCGCATGGCACTGGAAATAATGACGCCAGCTCTGCAACGGTAGCACGATTCGGAACGAGCGGTAGCCCGAAAATGAGGCCCGCGCTTCAGCACGCGTAGCCTGACATAGCATGGCGTGGCGACGCCCCAAAGTGGGGGGGGGGGCTTCTACGGCCCAGAAGTCCAACACATCGGCACCGAATGTGTAGTCATTTCTGATGTTTTTTTTCGTGGGGGGGGGGCATTTTAGATTCTTGGGCTTATTTGGAAGGACCGAAAACTATGCCGTGGCATGGCGCTGGAAATGATGACGCCAGCGCTGCAGCGGGAGCACGCTTCGGAACGATCGGGAGCGCGGAAATGAGGCCAGCGCTGCAGCGGGCGCACGTTTCGGAACGAGCGGTAGCCCGAAAATGAGGCCAGCTCTTCAGCGAAAGCAGCACTTTGAACAAACGCCCAAAGCGAAAGCCCAGTTCCCGGGAATCCTGTCGGAGGGGGGCCGTCCATTTCCTGGACGCCACCAGGGGAGAGAGGAGAGTAGCACTCGTATTGTTTAAGTGTGGATGGGGGGAGGAGGAAGGAGGATGAATAGGGAATAGGCGGATGCTGATGATGATGCTGATGATGATGATGATGATGATGATGATGATGCTGATGCTGATGACGATGATGATGCTGATGAAGATGATGATGCTGATGATGATGACGATGATGATGCTGTTGCCGATGATGATGACAACGATGGGGACGGAGGATCAGGATGAGGCTGATGATGGTAATGATGATGATGATGATGATGATGATGATGATGATGATGATGATGATGATTATGATGATGATGATGCTGATGATCATGCTGAGGATGATGATGATGATGATGATGCTGCTGATGATGATGATGCTGATGATGATGCTGCTGATGACGATCATGATGATGCTGATGCTGATGATGATGATGACGGGGGTGAGGATGATAAGGATGAGGATGAGGATGATGATAATGCTGCTGCAGATGATGATGATGATGATGATGATGATGATGATCATGATGATGATGATGATGATGATGATGATGATGATGATGATGATGATGATGATGATGATGATGATGATGATGATGATGATGCTGATGATGATGATGATGATGATGATGATGATGATGATGCTGCTGCTGATGATGATGATGATGATGATGATGATGATGATGATGATGCTGATGATGCTGCTGATGATGATGACTATGATGATGATGATGCTGTGATGATGATGATGAGGATGATGAGGAGATGAGGATGAGGATGAGGATGAGGATGAGGATGATGATGATGATGATGATGATGATGATGATGATGGTGATGGTGATGGTGATGGTGATGATGATGATGATGGTGATGATGATGATGATGATGATGATGATGATGATGATGATGATGATGATGATGATGATGATGATGATGATGATGATGATGAGGATGAGATGAGGATGAGGATGAGGATGAGGATGAGGATGAGGATGAGGATGAGGATGAGGATGAGGATGAGGATGAGGATGAGGATGAGGATGAGGATGAGGATGAGGATGAGGATCAGGATGAGGATGAGGATGAGGATGATGCTGATGATGATGGTGACGATGATGATGAGGATGAGGATGATGAGTTGGAGGATGAGGAAGAGGAGCAATAATGATGCCATATGCTTAAGCGTAAGATCCGGTCAATGCACAAAAAGAGGAGAGGAGGAGGGCGAGCACAACGGCCAGAAGCCTCCCGGATGCCTTTCGGAGTCTCTTCGGATTTCTTCCGAGAGCTTCTTGGAGTCGTCTTGGGGTTTCTTGGCAGTCCCGTGGGCCTCTCGGGGCCTCTCGCGTGCCTCTGGAGCCTCCTGGGGCCTCTTGGGGGACCATGTGCTGTGCTTTGTTCTTCTCTGGGAGGGCATGGGCCTCATCTGCTTTATCCGCCTTCCTACTTCCTGCTTTCACGTACTTCTTCCGACCGACTTGTAGACTGCCGGCGGCCAGCCCGTGGGGAAGTGAGAAGGGGCGGGCCTTCTCAGAAGGCTCGGAAACTCCCCAGCCTTCTGGGACTGGGAAGTCTCCTGAGCCTCGAGAAGTCCCGCCGCCTTCTGAGCAGGCCTCCTCTTCACTTGCCCACCTCGCTCGCCGCCGGGCATCAACATTCAAAGTCCGCGGGCGCGAAGTGGTCAAGGACGGTCGGGCGCTGGTCAGCGAGCGGCCTCGCGACGCGACCGCGCGCGGGGGGACGCCGCGGCTCGAGCGCCTCCCGCCCTGCCGCCCTGCTGCCCGGCCACCCGCGCGCGTTGCGAGGACCGCGGCCTTCGCCGCCGCCCTCGCCGCCGCCGCCGCCGCCGCCGCTGCGGTCTCCGCCGCCGCCGCCCGCCGCCCGCCGCCGCCGCCGCCCCTCGCCGCCGCCGCGGTCGCCGCGGTCGCCGCCGCCGTCGCCGGCGCCCGCGGGGCCTCGCCGCTCCCCGCGCCCGCGCCCGCCCTGCCGCAGCTCGTCCGCCTTCCCCTGTCGGAGGGAAGAGAAGCGATACCAACACCATCAGGGGGCCCACCGCCAGCGAGGAGGTCCACGGTGCCTCTCCGAGCTGGATGCTGGGGATGTCTCGAGCGAGAGGGGGGGACCACACCACCAGGGAGTTCCCCCTTGCCTCCTCGCATCTCCTCGCCCTGTTGGTGTTGGTGTCGCCTTTCCTTGCTCCTACCCCTGGGGGCCGAGGAGGGGGGGGGGCTCGGAGGCGGCGGCTCTCGCAGGTCCGGGCGATCCTTCCTGTCCGCTACAAGGAGCGCCCCGCTGCTGAGAGGCAGCACCCCACGGGCGTGCCATTCAGGCGGGAGCCCCGTGCTGGGAAGGAGTTGCTGCACGATGGTGCAGTTCGAGGGGGTGTCGAGCGAGATCCCCGCATGTAGCAAAACCGTTTGATCAAGTATGTGTCGAGCAAATTTGAAATTTTTGTCATGGGCTTCGAGGAGGCATCGAGCGATATCCCCGTTCGAAGTGATAACTGCCCTCCACCCGTGCCCCTTTCACATAGGTTTAAGCATCTGGTACGGAGGTTCAAAAACATTATATGCGGAAGCCCCACTCTGAAAAAGGATGTTTCAAAAGACCAAGACGAATCTGTGCGGCGCTGAGGCGAAACTCCGCTTTAGGAGCAGAACGGCCCTCCATCCTTGCAGCCGTTGCAATATTTTTAGAACACTTAGCGTGGCGCTAAGGCGAGTGCATTATTCTGACGAGGAATCGTCAAAATAATGCGCGCGGCGCTCAGGCGAGAACAGCATTTTCAAATCGACCCGCGCTCCATCTGCGAAGCTGCCGCAAACATTGAAAATTCGTTTGTGCAACTCTAGGGCGAGAGCCTCATTTTTTCAGCGACCCTATTAATCTGTGAATGTCATGTGAAAACTTAAAGACGAATGTGCACGGCGCTAAAGCGATAGCCGCATTCTGAAAGTTGCTGCAACCTTTCAAAACCAATGTGCGCGGCGCCTAGTAGGAAGTCTCAGGCGCAACGCCTGTCCCGCTTTACCGACGCGTCTGGGGGCGCGACAGGGCGGAATGAACTATTGTAAGGAAAGGGGACGGGGGGGGGAGAAGGCGGATGAGGAGGAAGATAGATGGATGGGATGGATGGATGGATGGATGGATGGGTGTTGATGATGCTGATGATGCTGATGATGCTGATGATGATGATGCTGATGATGCTGATGATGCTGCTGATGACGATGCTGATGCTGATAATGACGATGCTGATGATGATGCTGATCATGATGGATGATGATGCAGATGACCATGAGGATGATGATGAGGATGATGATCACGATGATGATGTTGATGATGATGATGCTGATGCTGATGATGATGATGATGATGATGATGCTGATGATGATGCTGATGATGATGCTGATGCTGATGATGATGATGCTGATGCTGATGCTGATGACGATGATGATGACGACGATGATGACGATGATGATGATGACGACGACGATTATGATGATGCTGATGCTGATGCTGATGATGATGATGATGCTGATGCAGATGACGATGATGATGACGACGATGATGACGATGATGATGATGATGCTGATGATGAAGATGATGATGATGACGATGATGGTGATGATGATGGTGATGATGATGATGATGACGATGATGATGATGATGATGATGATGCTGATGATGATGGTGATGCTGATGATGATGATGATGATGATGATGTGGTGGTGATGGTGATGGTGATGGATGATGATGATGATGATGTGATGATGATGATGATGATGATGATGATGATGATGATGGTGATGGTGATGGTGATGGTGATGGTGATGGTGATGGTGATGGTGATGATGGTGATGGTGATGGTGATGAGATGATGATGATGATGATGATGATGATGATGATGATGATGATGATGATGATGATGATGATGATGATGATGATGATGATGATGATGATGATGATGATGATGATGATGATGATGATGATGATGATGATGATGATGATGATGATGATGATGATGATGATGATGATGATGATGATGATGCCATCACCGTCGTCGTTGTCTTCGTCGCTGCCGTCTTCGCCGCCGCTGCCGGCGCCTCTCCGCGGGCGGCAGGAGCGGGCCGCTGGCAGCAGGGCCGGCGTGGGGAGCGTGCGGTCCTCGGAGAGAGGGCGGGGTGCTCCGCCGCCATGCAGCAGACGGGTCCCGAGGGATATGGGCCCCGACGTTCTCCGCCGCCCGCGGGCTCTCTCCAGTACGGGGCCAGGCCGAGGACGAGTCCGTTCCAGAGCGTTCCCGGAACGCCCTGAGAGCTGCCGCGGCGCCCGAGACATCCCCCAGAGCCAGGGGATCTCAGAGACTCCCGTCTTACCCTCACCCGAAAGTGCCCGCAGCCTCCCCCCCCGGGGCCTCCCCTTTTCGGGCCACAGCTCGGCTCTCCGGCGGCCGTCCGAGAGGCGACCCGGGCAGCGCGGGGCCCTCGACGCGGCGCAGCCGATGGAAGACATCCCGAGGCCGCAACGTCGCCGACCGCCGACGAAAAACGCCAGAAGACCTCGAACCTCGACTCCTTGCCCCCTTGCCCTCTCTGGTGCTTCACCACCCACCAAACCACCCCAACCCAACCCGAAGGCCCAAATTTCTCCTGGGGGGGGGGGTCGGGGAACATCGAGAAAACACATGGAATCCGTACCCCCCCCAACCCGAAATTCGGGTCAAATTCGGGTCTTCGGGTTGGGTTGGGGTGGTCTGGTAGGTAGTCACTCTCTGGTGCTGGGCTCGCCTTACTCCCGCCGCCGCCCGCCCCGGCCAGGCGTCGCCATGCCCGCCGTTCTGCAGCCCCGCCTGCTGGCCGCCGCGGGCCTCCTCGCGTGCGCGGCGCGCCTGCTGGCCCCGGCCGCCTTCGCGGCAGGCGCCCCGCGCCCCTGGCGCGCGGAGCCGCCAGGGCTCCGACGATGCCTTCCCAGAGATCCGACGCTCCAGCAAAATTTGAAGCGGGAGCCTCGTCGACGACGTGAGCGATCGGAGGCTTCGGATACATGCGCTGCTCTCCCCTGGACTACATTCGCCCCCGTCGCCGCCTCGGAGTCGATGGAGCGGGCGGTTTTTGTCCAACGATCCGACGCTCTCCGACGCTCCAGCAAAATTCGGAGCGGGCGGTTTTGGTCAAGCGACGGAAAACCACCCAAACCAGATAATTACCGCTTACGAAACGGCCCTGGACGCTTTTTCTAAACAGCCCTGTCCTGTTCGGTTCCTTCTCGGGGCGCGTTTGCTGCACACGGCTTCGCGTGTCGGGGTGGTGCTGATAGGGGGTGTTTTTTTTCCCCCTGCTTTGGCTCTGGATGCCCGCGTCGCTTTCGAGGAGGAGGAGGAGGAGGAGGAGGAGGAGGAGGAGGAGGAGGGAGGAGGGAGGAGGGAGGAGGGAGGAGGGAGGAGGGAGGAGGGAGGAGGGAGGAGGGAGGAGGGAGGAGGGAGGAGGGAGGAGGAGGGGGAGGAGGGAGGGAGGAGGGAGGAGGGAGGGAGGAGGGAGGGAGGGAGGGAGGAGGGAGGGAGGGGGGATGGAGGGAGGGAGGGAGGGGGGGAGGGGGGAGGGGGAGGAGAGGGAGGAGGGAGGAGGAGGAGGAGGAGGAGGAGGAGGAGGAGGAGGAGGAGGAGGAGAGGAGGAGGAGTAGGAGTAGGAGGAGGAGGAGGAGGAGGAGGAGGAGGAGAGGAGGAGCAGGAGGAGGAGGAGGAGGAGGAGGGAGGAAGAGGAGGAGGAGGAAGAGTAGGAGGAGGCGGAGGAGGAGGAGGAGGAGGAAGAGGAGGAGGTGGCGGAGGAGGAGGAGGATGAGGAATAAGCAGACATATAAGAATACACAACATAAGACAAATCATAATACTAACACTACAGAGAAAATAATAATACTACTCATACGAATAGTCATACTGCTAAGATAACAAAGCATAACCATACTATTATTACTAATAATAGTATCCATTTTATTAATAAGAATATGTTTAATACTACTAATACTACTCATAAGAATACGACTAATACTATTATTAATACTTCTAATAACTCGAATAATACTAATACGAATAAGAATATCAATACGAATAATACTAATAATACTACTAAGACGATTAATATGAATAATACGAATAATAAGAACAGTACTAATATGAATACTAATACTAATACGAAGAATAATATTTCGAACACGACGAAGAATACGATTAATACGCATACTATTAATACGAATACGACTAAGACTAATATTAATAATTATGCTACTGCTATTAATAATACTACTAGTAATACTAATACTAACACTACTAATAATAGTAGTATGTGTAGCAAATGATAGTACTCATAACCATAATACTAATACTAATCATAATAGTACTAGTAGTAGTAGTAGTAGTAGTAGTAGTAGTAGTAGTCGTAGTAGTAGTAGTAGTAGTAATAAATCTAATACTACTAATAATACTAATACGACTAATAATACTATTGATAGTACTAATCATAATACTATTATGAATACCGCTAACAATATTACTAATAATAATACTACGAATAACAACAACAATACTACTACTACTAATACTAATAATGATATTAATCATATGAATAACAATAATATTACTATTTATAATAATAATAACAATGATACTATTAATCATAATAATACTACTACTACTAATACTAATACTATTATCAATAATATTAATGATAATACGCATAATACTACTAATGTTAATATCATTTTTAATAATAATAATATTACTAATACTAATATTAGTAATAATAATATTGATAATAACACTAACAATAATAATATTAATAATACTACTACTGATCATACTAGTAATCATAATATAATAATAATGATAATCATAATACTACTACTAATAATAATACTAATAACAATAATAATACTACTATTAATAATAAGAATGATGATACTAATACTCATAATAATAGTAATAATAATAGTAATAGTAATAATATTACAAATAATAATAATAATAGTGATAATAATGCTAATAATAATGATAATACTACTAATCATACTAATAATACTAAGAATAATAATTCTAAGAAGAAGAAGAAGAATCATAAGAATCATAAGAATAAGAAGAATAATAAGAAGAAGCATAATAATAATAAGAATAATAATAATAATAAGAATAATAGGAAGACGAATAAGACTAATAATAATAATACTAATAATACTAATAATAATAATAATAATAATAATAATAATACTAATAATAATAATACTGCTACTAATAATAAGAGGAGGAGGAAGAGGAGGAGGAGGAGGAGGAGGAGGAGGAGGAGGAGGAGGAGAGGAGGATGGGGAGGAGGAGGAGGAGGAGGAGGAGGAGGAGGGAGGAGGAGGAGGAGGAGGAGGAGGAGGAGGAGGAGGAGGAGGAGGAGGAGGAGGAGGAGGAGGAGGAGGAGGAGGAGGAGGAGGAGAGGAGGGAGGAGGAGGAATGGAGGAGGAGGAGGAGGAGGAGGAGGAGGAGGAGGAGGAGGAGGAGAGAGGAGGAGGAGGAGGAGGAGGTGGAGGAGGAGGAGGAGGAGGAGGAGGAGGAGGAGTCGGAGGAGGAGGAGGAGGTCGTCGCCTCCGATTCCGAGGAGGCCCGCTGCCTCCCGCCAACACCCCCCCTTCCTTGGCCACCTGACGCAAGGCCGCACCCCTCGCGCGGGTCTCCCCCGGCAGGGGCCCGGCACTCCTGGCGCTGGAGGCGAGGAGGGAGAGGAGGGGGAGGGGAGGAGGGATGGGGGCCCTTCGCAAAGATCGTGGGGGACACCTTCGGCGCCAACAACAAGGCGCCCGTGTGAGGGCTGCGGCGCTGCGCGCGCCTTGGAGCCCGCATCGAAAGGCTCGAAAGGGAGGCGAGGACCCAGAGATCCGACGCTCCGACAGACATCGGAGCGGGCGGTTTTGGGCTGAGTTCGGCCTCCGGAGGCCCTCGCCGGGCCTCGGGACCGTCAAAAAACGGCGCAGGGCGAAAAACCGGCCCCAGGGAAGTGGTGTAGACCTTCGGGACCCACGCATCGAAAAAATTGGAGCAGCCGGATGTCTGGGTTCTCCAAGTAGGCTTGCCTGTGGGAGTCCCTGCTATCCGCACGGCTTCCTCTGCTAGCCGCATGGCTGTCCTTGTGTTCGCACGGCTTCCTCTGCTGCTCCAGTGGCTTCCTGTGCCTACCCCGATGGCGGCCCAACAAGTGTCCAACGATCGCCCAACAATCGTCAACGTCTGAAGCAGAGTAGAGTAGAGCAGAACAGGTTAGAGCAGAGCAGAGAACATAAGTCGAGTACCCCATCATAGAGAGCGCAGCCGAGTTCGCCTGTTCAATTCAGTCAGAGGGCCCCGCCTACTCCTTCCAGCAGCGCAATCATAACTTGGGGCACAACTTGACACCGGCATTGGAACGCGCTCCCTCCTCGCAAGCGGGGGGCGCTCGCGCGCGGCCCCGCCTCCGCCAATGTGGCGAAGAGCAGCCTGCGCGGGCGGCGCGGGGGGGAGAGGCACAACTTTGGATGAACGCGGCGAAGACGAAGCGTGCGCCGCTCTGACAAAGCACTGCCAGTTTCACTCACAGGCTGCGCGGCGCTTGGGCGAGGTTGGCATTTCGCCCGCTCTCGCGCGGCCCCGCTGCCGCGGTCGATGTTATGCAATTCTGCCAACGAGCCATGCGCCGCGCCCGCGCTGGAGCGCCACTTCCGAGCGAAATGCGCGCGGAGTTTGGGCGAGGGCGACAAGTCGCCCACTCGCCGCGTCTAGACGGAAGCGCCACTTTCAGACGAAACCTGCGCGGCGCCTTGGGCGAAAACGACATTGTCGCCCGCTCGCGGGTCGACGAAGTTGCGTGCGGAACATGTGCGCCGCTCCCGAGCGGGAGTTCTGCTCTCTAGAAAAATGAGTTCGGCGCGTAGCGAGAGCGACCGACGTTTCGGCCTCTCGCGCGGGACGTGCGCCCCGTCCCTTTCCTGCCACATTTTGCAACGTGGGCGACGTCGTGTTCGTGTTGAGGTGAGGCATGGATTTTGGATTTGTTTTGCGTTTGAACAGGTCGGATGGGACAGCCTGGGTCCGGGTCCTATCGGCCTGCTAGGTGGCTGAATACGAATATGTTTACATAAGGAATTCGTATACCATTGTATTGTGTAGTACAGTACATCAGAGTGAAGCGGCAGAAATGAGGGGAGACCAGAATAGGAGGGGAGTAGAGTAGAAATAGGGTGGGACTATTATGGAGTAGAGTAGGGACGAAGGGAAGTATGGGTCAAAGCAGGACAAGATAGACCAGAGTAGAGTAGGGTAGATGGTACAGTCGAGTTGGGTTTGTTAGAGTATAATAGAGTAGTGTGGGGTATGTGTACAGTAGAGAAGAGTGGAGAAAGCTAGAGTGGGTTCGGGTGGGGTAGGGTCGAGTACAGTAAGGTAGAATAGAGGACAGTAGAGTAGATTAGAGTCGGGTATATCGCAAAAAAGAATCGGGTATAATAGTCTAGAGCCAAAAGGAGTGCAGCGGAGTCCAACCCAGCCCAGTCCAGTCTGTCCCAGTCCAGTATGCTTCAGTCCGCTCCAGTCTGCTTCAGTTGTTCCCGCTGCGCGTCCGTCCCGCGGCCCCAGAAAAAGGGAGGCCGTCGAGCGCCCCCCCCTCCCCCCAGAGGCCCGAGGGGGGGGGGAAATCCGTCGAGGGGCTGTCGCCGAGAGGGGGCTGTCGAGAGGGGGTCGTCGAGAGGGGGGTGCCGAGATCCTCCTCCCCCTGAGGCCCGACCGAGAGGGGGTCGCCGAAGGGGGCACCCAAGGGGGGGTCGTCGAGGGGGGGTCGTCGAGTGGGCCGCCGAGGGAGGCGCCCGAGGGGCGTCGTCGAGGGGGGGTCGCGGCTTCGTCAAGGGGGGCAAGCGA